GACCACCTGCAGGGGAATAATAAGGAAAGAACAATTTGGGAAAAGGTCTAAAAGAGGAAGCCATCACGTGTGCATCATGTGCCAATCATGTGTAACTCTACAAGCTGAAGGTGATGCCTGGGCCCATCACCTCTCCTGAGATGATGGCATCTGTATGGGCATGACATCAGCAGCCTTCTCCTGAAGGGATTTTAGAAGAAAAAATAGGTTGGATTTTTTTTTTTTTTTAATTGAGAGGAACCAGCTAAGTGGGTGGTTTGTTGCTTGGGTGTGTCCCACAGGGGAGGGAAGAAGACAGATGTTGTTGGAAAGGAGAAGGAAGGAACGGGAATAGGCAAGCCATGTTCACAGGAAGGTGCTGAAGATCCCCTTGGCCAGCTTTTGTAGAGATCCTAGTTTGAGAAGGTCAAGGCTGAAACTGTGACATGCAGTACATGAGACATTGCCATGGCCTTTATTCTAACTATGTTTGTAGAGAACCTTCTACATGTCAATACTGTGTTGGCTCCCCTGGTCCTTCTCTAAGAGCTCTCAGGTTCATGGAAGGCAGGATGTCCAGTGATTATCAGTGAGGAGACTCAGAGCTGGACCATCTGCCTTTAGACCCAGGTTCTACTACTTACACTGTCGAAGTTAGTAGGTTACTTAACTTTCCTATTGGCTTATCTGTGAACTGATGGTTTACTTCACAAAGGAGGAGAGAAGTTTATAATTAGAATGGATGTAAAAGTGTCTAGCAAACTGCCCCACCATATGGTAAGCATCATGTTTGTTATGAAGTGGAAGGATCAGATAAATAAACAAATGTGTCCTAAGGGGTTGTGGGAGCCTACAGGGGAAAGTGCCTAACTGCCTGGAGCAAGTTCAGGTTACTGAGGACAGGAATAAGAAGTCATGAAGATTCTGGGCTTTACTTGGGGTGGGAGAAGGCCAAGAATGAACACCATGTGTAATTCAGTGATAGGGCACCCCTAGGTTTAATCACCAGTATTGAGGGGAAAAAATGAATATCTTTAAAATGTTACTCAGATGATTCAGATAAGCTGATAGGTCGTCTACTCCTTAACCCATCAGAAAAGCATCTATTTGCTCTTTTAAGGTAACTTTTCATTATTTAAAAATTGTATTTTGCTGGGTGTGGTGGCACACACCTGTAATCCCAGGGACTTGGAAGGCTAAGGAAGGAGGATTGCAAGTTTGAGGCCAGCCTGGGCAACTTAGTGAAAATCTGTGTCAAAATAAAAAATAAAAATAAAAAGGATTGAGGATATAGCTTAGTGGTAAAGCACCCCTGAGATCAGTTTCAGTACCCCCCACAAGGTTTAATAATAATCAAATTATTTAATAATAATCAAATTAAATTTCACAAAACTTGGAAATAGAGAAAAGATTCACCCATAATACCAATAGTCTAACACTAGTATTTGATGTCCCAACCTTTATTCCTCATACATCTTTTTTTCAAAAATATTTATTTATTTTTGTTTTCGGCGGACACAACATCTTTGTTTTGTATGTGGTGCTGAGGATCGAACCCTGGCCGCACGCATGCCAGGTGAGCGCGCTACCGCTTGAGCCACATCCCCAGCCCCTTCCTCATACATCTTGTTTTTAAATGTTAATCATAGTAAATGTGATAGTTCATATTTTGCATTTTTAAACTATGCATCACTGGCATTTTTACTACATTGTTTTCATAATGAATTTTGATCAATGAACTAGAAATAGCCTTCTTTTTAAATGTTCATGTTCTTTTTATAAAGTTTCATTCAGAATCAGTATACAAAAGAATACGCAAATCTTTTAACTCAATCACTTTGAGCACAAGTGTTCTTCCAGAATTGTTCTAAGCAAATAAGCACATTTAGCCTCCCCTGCTCCCAGAACTGGGGATTGAACCCAGGGCCCCAAACATTCTAGGCAAGTGCTCTCCTCATATCCCCAGCCCCAGCCTTTTTTTTTTTTGGTGGTACTAGGGATGAACCCAGGGGCACTTTACACTGACCTACATGCCTAGCCTTTTTTGTATTTTGAGACAGTCTAGTTAAATTGCCCAGTCCAGGCTGTCCTCAGACTTTCGATCCTCCTGCCTTAACCTCTGGAGTCATGGAGATTATAAGGATGTTACTCCATACCCACGCCTATCCCCAGACTTTTAAGTTTAAGAAGTTTTAGCAGGTTATTTTATACCCTGTCTTTTCACTTAATTATACATCACAGACAAATATTTCCATGTCAATCAGTATAGACATATACAATTATTTCTAGTGGCTTCACCAATTTAATGAACTAATCTCAAGTTTATGTAAACATCTATCACTGGATGTTTACGTTGTCCCTGTGCCTGTACATGCTCTGGCACTTGTGTGTGTGTGTGTGTGTGTTCTTCTCCATCACGTGAATTGACCATAATTTACTTAAACATTTGGCTATTTTTGGATATTTAAGTAGTTTTTCTTTTGTTTTTGCTATAATAAATAACAATGCATTGGAAATCTTCAGACATGTGGCTTTTCCCATATTTTGAATAATTTCCTGGAGTGGAAGTATTGGGTCAGAGGGCAGGGACATTTTATGGTTCTTGATTGTATCACTAAGCTGCTTTCTCAGAGGGTTGTTTGGGCCTGTTCAGATACTTCCAGCAATGTGCTGTTATCAGCTTCCCATTTTCCATTCACTTACAAAGGTGGTGAGAAGAGAAGAGGATATTTTTTTCTAAGCAAAGGAGGTGCTCAGGTGGACTGACAGGAACAGATAGGGAGAAAAAAGGATAGAGTGAACCTGGGGAACAGGCAAAGAGAAAGAGAAAGGAGTGACCAGAAAAGACCATTTTGTTTGAATTATTTTCCTCATGTTCATTGTAAAGAACCCAGACTTTTTCATAAATTAGAATTTACTACACAAAATCCTCCTTTGAGGGCTGGGATGTGGCTCATTGGTTAAGCTCCTCTGAGTTAAATCCATCCCTAGTACCAAAAAAAAAAAGCAACCAACCAAGCAACCAAACAAGGAAACCCAGGCCTCCTTTGATGTCAGCTTACAATTTAGGTACCATCTTCAGTATTTTTTCTTTCTTTTTTTTTTGAACCCATGACCTTGAGTTTGCTATGTAAGTACTATATCCCTGAGCTATACATACCCCCAGCCTTATCTTCAGATTTTTACACAAATACTACTAAAAATCTTGTGAGTATTTTTGTTTGTTTTCCTGGTGCTGGGGATTGAACCCAGGGCCTCCTGCATACTTGGCAAGTGCTTTACTACTGAGCTACACCTCAGCCTTCATCAGATCAATAACTTTTTTTTTTTTTTTGGTACCAGGAATCGAACTCAGGGGTTAAGTAACCAATGAGCCATCTCCCCAGTCCCCTTTTTTTTTTTTTTCACTGATTTTTTTTTTTTTTTTTTAAATTTGAGACAGGGTTTTGCTATGTTGCTCAGGGCTTCACTAAGTTGCTGATGCTGGCCTGGAACTTGCAATCCTCCTGCCTCATTGTCCCCAGTTGCTGGGATTACAGACCTGTGCCAAGATACCCGGCCTAATAACTTATTTTTAATTTTTTAGTTCTTAATAGAACTTTATTTATTTATATGTGGTGCTGAGAATCAAACCCAGTGCCTCACACATGCCAGGCAAGTGTTCTACCACTGAGCCACAACTCCAGCCCCCCAATAATTTATTTTTAAAGGTATAGCTTCCTGCTACACACTCACCTTTGGAATGAATACAATCACTTAGGGTGCAGATAATGTTTAATTTCAATAATTAGGAACTGAACTAATATTGTCCACTTCCCCTGCCAGAGGGCTCACCCTAACCTCAACAACAATCTCTGGGAGTCAGTTCCACCCGGGGAAGGCCTTCTGCGGCCTCTGCTTCTCTTTTCTAATCAAAAACACCCCCATCTGGCAGCCCCTTTCTACTGCTTAAGGAGTTGATCCCAGATGGCCTGTGGGAGTCTCCACTGGCTGGTGAGTAGCCAAAGGAAAAGGCCTGTAGCTGCTGTCAGTGCATCACACTCTAAGGATTAACCATTACCACAAATTCTCAAGTCTGGGAAAAGCTAAACCCATGGCCTTAGGGCAAAGCTGGTCTGGCGTTCACGTTAAGGCCTTTCACCACAGATGCCCGGGGAAGCCAAAGTGACTGCTGTCCCAATCGCTCTGGCTGGATCTTCCTCAAACCTGCCTGGGCTCAGGAGGTTCCACACCCGGCCCGGACGTGGACCTCACGTGAGGTCTGCAAACCTTGACTGCCTGACTTGACTCAACCGCAGCCTCTGTAGAACCCCTTCGCGCCCCCGTGACTCAGTTTCTCCATTTGCTCACGCGAGCCAACGGCGTGAGGCACCGGAGTGGAATGCGGACGGTGCTTCCTACAGCTTCCTCGCTGTCGGCCGTGGGTGCGTGCTCTCAGGAGTTTACAACGCCCAGAGTGCTCATTCTGGCTATGTCCTGCTCCGGCCCCAGGACAGTCTTGGGGTGGCAGTGACTCGGCCACATCACCCGCAGGACTGCTGAGGAGACATCGCCTTAAACCCACCAGCTATGGCTCCTGCATGGCCCGGGCCAGGAGGAGTTGCCAAGGAGAAGCCCACTGCCCGTGACCACGCCGGGCCCATGCCCACTGCCCGCCGCCTGACGCAATCCGAGGCGCCCTTGCTGCATGCGGGCGCTGGGGAAACCTTCGCTGCCGTTGCATCACTTCTGCCAGGTTTGCCACGAGGTGGAGCCGAACCAATCAGCGAGCGCACTGAGCCCGGGGCAGGCCACTCAGCCACCCACTTGAAGAGTAGCGCGGTTAACCGAGAAGCAAAATCCGAAGATGATTGGCCCAAAGAGGATTTGCCCCGCCCCAATCACCGCGGCAGCTGGCCGCGGCGGGCGGGGGGGGTCCCTCCGCCGGAGGGTTTAAAGGGCACCTCCGTGGGGGCCACTCAGCTGGAGCGACCGACCGGTGCCAGGCCAGGTGTGCGCGTCCGTCGGTCCTTCCGTGCCCGCGCCGGAGACCAGCCCCGGAGGCCGCCCGGGCCCGTCCCTGTGCCCGGCACCATGAAGCAAGAGCCTGCAGCCCAGAACACCCCGCCCCCCTCGCCGTCTCCGAACGCATCCGCGCAGTCCCCCCAGGAGGATGGCGACCCTCCAGCACTTTGGATTTTCGGGTATGGCTCCCTAGTGTGGAGGCCCGACTTCGCTTACAGTGACAGCCGTGTGGGCTTCGTGCGAGGCTACAGCCGCCGTTTCTGGCAAGGAGACACCTTCCATCGGGGCAACGACAAGATGGTGAGAATCTGACTGTGCCCAGGGGGGTGAGGGCGGTGGGTAGCATTGTGGGCGCCGGTGCCTTGGAATAGCCTGGGCTCTCTGGGCCAATGTGTAAAACTGTGTCTGGCTTTGTGGCTTAAATTTGTGTGCCCAAGTGATCACTGTGTGATTGATGCCTGGAGTCGGTAAACCTGTGGATCCCTGGGTTGATTACCAATCTGGACCATTGCCATCTATCTGCTTACTATTTCTCCTGTATCCCTACATCACTCGCTGCTCATCCCTCTGTATGAATAGGACTCTCTGAGTCCTAGCCAACAGAATGATAAGGCTTTCTCTGCGTTGATGGCAGAACTGATTTCTAACTTGTCTTTCAAAATCTTCCTTCCCTCCCTAGCCTGGTCGTGTGGTGACCCTCCTTGAAGATCGTGAGGTAAGTGCTCTGGGAAAAGGGGGACCCAGCACCCAATGTGGAAGGGTACCACACACAGAGCTTTTTGGGCCCATGACTGTAAGCTATAGCTGTTGCTTGTCTGGCAGAGTGGAAGTATGTTTTGGCTCAGTGTTTCTCAGAGTTATGTAGGATCTGCAGAATTTAATTCAGTAGGATTGGAATGAGGTCTGAGGTGCACCATTTCTAACAAGCTTACAGGTGATGCCATTACATGTTTCTGAACCACACTATGAATAGAAATCCTGTCCTCCCTGGGATTAGACCACCTTTTAAGAAAAGAGGCATAAGCCAGGCCTGGTGGTGCACACCTGTTAACCCAGGGAATTGGGGAAGTTGAGGCAGGAGGATCCCAAGTTTGAAGTAAGCCTGGGCAACTTAGTGGGACCCTGTCTCAAAAAATAAATAAACAAGAGCTGGAGTTGTAGCTCCGTGGTAGAGTGCTTGCCTAGCAAGTATGAGGCACAGGGTTTGAACCTGAGCATCACTTAAAAAAATAAATAAATAAAATAAAGGTATTGTCTCCATCTACAACTAAACATATTTTAAGAAAAATAAATAAGCAAGCAAACAGATATATAGAGTGGAGTTATAGCTTGGTGGTAAAGCAGCCCTGGGCTCCCTAGTACCACCACAAAAAAGAAAAAAAAAAAAGTACAGTCCTTGGGTCACGGGGGGTGGGGTGGGGGTGGGGGAATAGCATTCTGTAATGAAGGAGGGACCAGCAAACAGTTGCTGTGACTGATCAGAAATATCTTTATTTCCTCCTAGGGCTGCACTTGGGGTGTGGCATACCAGGTCCAAGGTGAGCAGGTGAGCGAGGCCCTGAAGTACCTGAATGTGCGAGAGGCAGTGCTTGGTGGCTATGACACCAAGGAAGTCACTTTCTATCCTCAAGATACACCTGATCAACCACTCAAGGCATTGGCTTATGTGGCCACCCCACAGAACCCTGGCTACTTGGGCCCTGCTCCAGAAGAGGCCATTGCTACACAGATCCTGGCCTGCCGAGGCTTCTCTGGTCACAATCTTGAGTACTTGCTGCGTCTTGCAGACTTCATGCAGCTCTGTGGGCCTCAGGCCCAGGATGAGCATCTGGAAGCCATCGTGGATGCTGTAGGCACCATGCTGCCCTGCTTCTGCCCGACAGAGCAAGCTCTGGCGCTGGTGTGAGGGGCTGAGCCCCTGCAGGGAGTGCCCATGTGGACATCAGGGCCAGGTGCCCACCACAGTGCTTGATACAAACTTGATACAGCTAGAATTCCTGAGATGTCATGGTAGACAACTGGGGACTTCTCTTCCTAAGCCCCTGTCAGTCTGCCAGCTTCTAGCTCTCTTGCTTGACACTGACTTCTGAACACTTTATTTATTGCACCATGTTGGTGTGGTGGCAGGGTGGGTGGGTGGGGCCTGCCCTGGACATGGCCCTGCTGCGCAGTGGCTCCACCTCAGGCCCTGGTGCCTGACCAGATTTCCCTCATTGCTGCTGCTAACCCCACACTACACAGGCCTCCACCTCTCCAGGGAGCCTCTAAGAGCCTTGATTTTCTGTCCATCCAGACCAACCATTTCCCAGCCTTGGAAATATTACCTGCCCAAGTTCCCAGCCAGCGGGAGGGGCAGTGGGAAGTGAGCAGAGGGAGCCCTACAAGGACTCAGGCCCCTTCCAATCCCACTCACCCACTAGAGTCCCAGGGCAGAGCTGGATCTGTTGCCTAGACAAAACTGCTGAGACTGGGCCTGGGCCTCTTACCTTTTGGGTTTTGTTTCTCCGACTCTGTCTCCTTGTCTGTCTGGACCACTTTTGTATATCTGTTGGTCTGTTTCTGGGAAGCTCATCACCATAGGCCCTTGCTCCTTCCCTCTCTGTCTCATACTGTTATTCATAAATTGATCTCTTATTATCTCTGCTGTGCTGGGATGTGCTTCTTTCTTTACATGAGGGTTGGGGTAAGCAAGAGGTATACCCTAGAAGTTTCCTAGGAGGGAAAAGGCTTGGACCCTATACCAGGTCTTCCTTCAGCTGCAGGGCCAGCTGCTAGCTCTTCCTGGCAGGTGGGCCAGAACTCTGGCTTCCTACTAAAGGAGCATGTGGATTAGGGTATGGGGATGACAACTTCTGGGCAACACTGACAGTGGGATTCTGTGGCCTGTAGGACCTGAGGTCCCTTTTACTTCCAGGGTCAGAGTGCTCACAGCTGCCTCCTGGGGCTGCAGTTATTGGCTGTCCCTTCTCCTGTCCCAAGCTGCCAAGACTTGCCCATATTGGGATAAGTTGTAAGATGCTCTCTTGTTGCTGCATATTTACCCCCTGCCTCTCCCTGTGTACTCTTCCTCAGGTTCTGGCTCCAGGGAGGTCACAGTACCTAGATGTCAGCCTGGTCTGCCCCTCTTTAACAATGAATGGCTCCTATGAGGGTCTCCTGGACCTGCAAGATGGGAGTGGGGCCAAGATGACAGGATTTAGCAGAAGAGTCTCTGTCCAAACCACCCCTTCCTTCACTACCTAGAGACCTCAGAGAAGTACCTAGCTCTCTGAGCACTTCACCCTATGAGGGGACAGATCCCATGAAATGATGGATGGGGACAGGCTGTGTGGTATGTACTGCTGTTGTGGCCAGTGCCCTGGATTGGTCTGGTGTCCCCAGCAGGGTCAGTTCCGATCAAGTTGGGCAGGTGTTGTGCCTGGGGAGGGTGCCATGCTGAGTCGTGTGCCCATGTCTTGGCAGCCTTGTAATCTTAGCCATTGATGGGAAAAGTGTGGAGTTCAGCCAGGTTCTTCTGGGAACCTGGTCAGGACAACACAACAAGTGTGTGACAGAAATCCCTGGGCAGCCACCTCTGGGGCTTCCTGCATCATAGCAGAGCCTGGCTCTAGACTGGAGGTTGAACAGGGTGGGGAGGGCTATTTGTCAGCTAAACATGTTCCTCAAGTCATTGTGTCAGGCACTGTTCTAGGCACTGGGGATACAACAATAAAAGGGTCCTCTCTCTCTTTTTTTTTTTAGTGGTGCTGGAGATTGAACCCAGGGCCTCACACATGCTAGGCAAGCACTCTACCACTGGGCTACAGCCCCAGCCCAGGATCTTCCTCCTTAAGGAACCTGGAGTCTAGAACTGATGGTGACCATTCCATATGAAATGGGAGCAAGTCGAAAGGAGCCCTGAGCTGAGTGAACAGGCAGTCAGGGAAGACTTTCTGGGGGAGGGAGCCTGAAATGGGACCTCTGGGAACAGGGAGTCAGAGAACAGCATGTGCTTGACTGGGAGACAAGGTCAGACAGGCTGGCCCAGCAGCAGGGGAGGGGACATGAGGCTGCATAGAGGGAAGGACTGGGGCCAGCTGCCCTAGTGACTGTGCTGGGCTGTGCAGGTGGCATTCCTCCTGGGTCAGTGGCGGACCTCCAGTGGATTCTGGTGTGCTAATGAGGAAACTGGTTGCTGTGTCACACTGGAGGAGGAAGGCCAGTCAGCAGGAGGTGACGGTGCGAGCCGTGGCAAGAGGCATGGGCAGCGGTGTGGATCTGAGTGTGATTTAGGGGTGAGATTGATAGGATTTGGTGACAGACTGGTTGAGCAGAGTGAGGGTCTGAAGATATAGTAGGGAAAAGCAGCTCAAACTCAGGCTCAGTTTCTTCTACTAAACAATACAGACCACTTCGGAGCCCAGATGTGGGTGGGTTTTCCCTACACACTGAGTAAGCAAGCAATTCTGTAGCAGGAACCCAGCAGGGTGTCCTGGAAGCCAATTTGATTCTGACACTCCTGGTGATCCCACAGGCTGAGGGTTCAGTCCCCAAGACCAACCCCTCACTTCTGATGCCAGGAGTACACACCAAGTTTTTGCTTTTGTTTATTTGTTTTTGGTACTGGAGATTGAACCCAGGAGCTGTTACCACTGAGCCACATCCCCAGCCCTTTTTATTTTTCATTTTGAGACAGGGTCTCTCTGAGTTGCTTAGGGCCTTGCTAAGTTGCTGAGGCTGGCTTTGAACTTGTGATTCTCTTACCTCAGTCTCCCGAGCCTCTGGAATTATAATCATGTGTCACCATGCCAGCTTCTTCAGCTTCTTCAGCACTCCTTCCTTGCAGCTATGGATCGGGGCCCCTTCAGGGGGTCTTATCATCTACTATCAGACATGTCAGAGAATGTTAGAGTTTCTATGACCTATCTTGGAGAGGGAGTTATGAGCCAGGCACTATGAATGAAAACATATATGTATATCATCATATCATAAAGGTGAGGGTAGAGCCAGGAGGGCCAGGCTCCTTGGAACCGGAAAGGGAAGGGTAAAGATCTACCCTGGGCATAAGTTGGGGTTGCCTGTGGGAGAGGCCATCCACATGGATGTTGGGGACAGCTAGATATGTTGCTGTGAAACACAGGAGAGAAATCTGGGCTAGAGTTGTATTAGATACATGCAATTGGTGCTTGAGGCCATAAGGGGAGGGAAAAAGAGGATGGGGCAGGCTTAGTGTTGAGGTCCCCAGGCCTGGCGGTCTGAGTAAAGCAAGAGGAATTGGGAACACAAAACTGGAGGGTAAGAGGAGAACCAGGAAAGAGATGGGTGTCTCTAGGAGTGTGAAACATTGTTATGCTGCCAGGATGTTGAGGTAAATGACAGAGGAAAGTCCACTGGATGAAACACCAGCGGGTCCCTGGGGGGTCTCAGTGTGAGGAACTGCAGGAGCAGTGGTGAGAAGCCACAAGGCCAGGCCCTCCTGGGCCAGTGGGGGAAAGCAGATGGGTTTCAGATGTGGCCACCAAGAGGAGAGAGAAGCAAAGGGGTGAGTGAGGATGTGGGAAGGTGTTGGGGTCTCAGGACCCCTTTACAAAAAGATTGTTGAAGACCCTGAGGGTTTTCTTTATGTGGAATACAGTGTTCCGTATTTACTATGCTAGAAATGGAAAATGAGAGGTTTAAAACATTCTCAAAATTAAAAATAAAAACAAGGGGCTGGGGTTGTGGTTCAGTGGCAGAGTGCTTGCCTAGCACAAGTGAGGCACTGGGTTCGATCCTCAGCACCACATTAAAAAAAATGAAGTTAAAAAAAATTAAAAATAAAAACAAGGCTGGGGTGGAGTTCAGTGGTAGAATAAATGTTTAGCTTGCATCAAGCCCTGGGTTCAATCCTCAGCACTGAAAATAAATAAATAAATAATAAAAATTTAAATAAATAAATACATAAATGATTACATACATACAATAAACCAGCTACATTTTACTTTTCTCTCTCTTTTTTGAGATGAGGGGGAGGGTCTCACTATATTGCCCAGGCTGGCCTTGAACTCCTGGGCTCAAGTTATTCTTCTGCATCTCTTGAATGCTAGGATTACAGGCATGTACCACCATGCCTGGCACATGTTTAAAACGTTAGTTAAAATTTAAAATATGTTTTTTTCTTTTTGGTACCAGGGATTGAACTCAGGAGTACTCAACCACTGAGCCACATCCAAAGCCCTATTTTGTATTTCATTGGAGACAGGGTCTCACTGAGTTGCTTAGCGCCTCACAGTTGCTGAGGCTGGCTTTGAACTTGCGATTCGCCTGCCTTAGCCTCCCAAGCCTCTGGGATTACAGACCTATGCCACTGCGCCTGGCTACATGTTGACATTTTTAGAGAAAAAAGATTGTACTTATCAAAGCAAAGTAGTGAAAAAGTGGCTTTATTTTTTATTTTTAACGTCTGGCTTAATTGAACCTGCTGAGAGCTCATCTGCTCCTGCATCCACTCTGTTGCAGATTCACATGTAGCTTCTAGAAAACTCTACCATGCACTGCTAAGGAAAGAGAGAGAAGACAACCCCTTGGTTTTATTATAGACATAGTTTTGAGTTTACATTCACCTGAGAGGTGTTTTGGGGACCCTTAGGGGTCTCTGAGCCAACTTGGAAAACTTCTTATGTCCTTTTTTAGTTGAGAGAGTCTTGAGAGGGGTGAAGGTTGGGTGCCCCACTTTGGACATCAGCAATGAGGAATTTCAGAGTTAATAGAGACCTCAGAAATCATCCTGTCCATCCCGCCAGGGCATCTTCCTGGACAACCAGGAGTTAGTGGGAAGGATAAGTCAATTCAATTGCCATTTGTTGAGTCTGCAACATGCAGGAGGGCCCTTGACCTCCAGCTGTGGGAGACAGACAAACAGCCCCACCCTCGCACCTGGAACTCTGGGAATGGGGCAAAGCTGTTCTGCTTCACTCAGTGAAGGGCCTTCAAGAAGTGGTAGGAGCCCAACAGGTGGAGAGGCCCTCCAGGAAAGGAGGGAGGCACTGCAGGACTTGGCATGCAGCTGAGTGGTAGAAACTTTGGGGTGTTGG